AGGGAAAAATTGGCCTTAATGGCTTAATTGGGGGAGGGGGAGGGGATAGGTCCTCTTTGCTGGTTTAAGCCATGTGGGAAACTTTTTAACTAAAGAGAGTCCCAGAGATCATATATTTTGAATAGAAAAGGGGGCAGATCTAAGAATATTGAGAGAAAGCGGGAGCCATTAATTTCAGCTCATTTGCTGAACTTTCTATATTTCTTAGAGCCCCAGTTCTCCTCGACCTGAGGCAGCGCTCCTGCCACTTAAGAGATAGAAGTGCAGCCTCAGGAATTTTCTGTGAACTGCCTGGGATCTGGGATCGTGGGGCCTTCACGGAAAAGGCAGTCACATGGGGGAATCTCCCACCAGCTTTCTGGGATCTGTCTGGGGACCAGGAATCTCACAATCTCCTGAGATCCTAGGCCTAAACCTGAGACTTCCTCTGCAGCTGATGTGGTACTGGACCCAGACACCGCTCATCCCGAGCTCTTCCTGTCAGAGGACCGGAGAAGTGTGAGACGGGGTCCTTCCAGGCAGAGCTTGCCTGACAACCCAGAGAGATTTGACTGTCAGCCTTGTGTCCTGGGCCTAGAGAACTACTCCTCAGGGAGACATTACTGGGAGGTGGAGGTCGAAAACGTGATGGTTTGGGCTGTGGGTGTTTGTAGAGACAGTGTTAAGAGGAAAGGGGAAGCCCTACTGGTTCCTCAGAACGGCTTCTGGACCCTGGAGATGTTTGAGAACAAGTACCGCGTCCTGTCCTCCCCGCAGAAGATTCTCCCCCTGAAAGAGCGCCTTCGCCGGGTTGGCATCTTCCTGGATTATGAAGCTGGAGATGTGTCCTTCTATAACATGAGGGACAGGTCGCACATCTACACGTGTCCCCGTTCGCCCTTCTCTGGGCCCCTGAGGCCCTTCTTCAGGCTGGGTTCTGATGACAGCCCCCTCTTTATCTGTCCAGCGTTTACAGGGGCCCAGGGGGTCACAGTGCCTGAGGGCGGCCTGGTCCTTCACAGGGCAGAGACCCACCGCAGCCTCCAGGACCAATTCCCCGGTCTCAGAGCCAAGTAGAGAGCCCAGGCCACCTCTACTACCACAGCACAGCATCTCCTGGAGGAAAACCACCCTCCTTCCTTCTGGTCACGGAAGAAAATCTCCTCCAGAGGTCCCCTGGACACCTCCTCAAGCCCCAGCCCCATCTCTCCCTCATTAGGCTGTTGCTTTAGTAACTCATTTGCACATAACGATGGGGCAGGGGCCAGTCTCAGGAACACAAGTGCTGCCACAGAGCTCCCAACCAAGAAGTGTGAGAATGTGACAGGCAGAAAACCGGTTGCTTTAACATCAGAGTGATACATTCAGCCTGAGACTGGAGTTGACGTCAGATACTGTGGACTGGGGCGAGGATGCACTAGGATGTAAGAGGGGAGCGGGAACCACAAATGGAAGTCAGGGATAGAGGAGGTGAGACCTGAGAGGTGGGCCGAGGCTATGGATGTGGTTAAGCCCCACCATTACAGCTAAGGGGTCCCAGGAGCTGATGGTCCATTTCCAACCCACCCCCAAGATTTCCAGGGCATACAGTAAAGCTCCCCAGGCCTAGATCCATATGAGGAAGGATGAAGGATGAGGATACTTCTGGACGTGGCCTGGCTCAGGTGTCCCTACAATAAACAAGGTGTCAGTACTTAGTTATTGAGAGTGGTCTAAGGTTTAAGGTCCCAGCTGAGCAGGTAAGCATTGGACCAAGTGGATCTCAAGGTTCAGGTTCAGTGGGGAGAGCAGTGCTTTCCTGCTTTTTGGCCTCAGGATGCCTTTAGACACTTAAAAATTACTGAGGACCCTAAAGAGCTTTTGCTCATTTGGGTTATATATCTATCAATATTTGTGGCATTAGAGATTGGAACTGAGAAATGTTTAAAATGTATTTATTTATTAATTTATATTAAAAATAGCAACAAGCCAATTATAGGTTAATATAAAAAAATTTTCATGAAAAATAACTGTTGTTTCCAATGCAAAATAAAGTTTATTGAGAAGTGTGGTATTCTTTAACGTTTTTGCAAATCTAATGTCTGGCTTCTCGAAGGTGGCTAGATCCTCACATCTGCCTCTGTATTCAGTGCTGGGATGTCACAGGTCATGTAGGCTCTAAAAAATGTAACTGTACACTAGTGAGAGAGTGAGAGCAAAAATGAAAAATAATATCTTAGTATCATTATTATGGAATAGTATTAATCTTGTAGACTGTTTGCAAGTATTACAGGGACCACCCAGAAATCTGCAAAACATCTTTTGAGAACCAGGATAGAGGATCCTGGAATTGAGTCAGTCATCTAAAATGATGACATAAATGGCAGTATTTTGGACTTTACATAATTCAGCCATCCAATTGTAAAACTTGGCTGAAAACTTTAAAAGGTATTTCAAAAGTTCAAAATTGTTTTACTGCAGTTTCAAATGGAGACATTCTGGAAAAAATCAGGAACATTGAAATAAGTGATCTGTTGAGATGGAAGACTGGCTTATTAATGTGTATGTGCGTGTGTTGTTTTTATTTTTGGTATTGTTGTTATAATATTTGAACAGTTTTAACTAAAAGCACAAGACTGCGAGTCAGGAAACAAGTACTACTAATAACTGCCTATATTAATCTTAGGCAAGTCAGAGCTTTTCGGTGTTTTGGTATTCTGTAAAATAAGGCTTTGAGTGGGTTTGCATATCTTTTATTATAGTTTACAAAACACTTTCACTTATGCAGTATCCTTGCTTTCTCATAGCAAATATATTGATCCCCATTTCACAGTGAAATAGTGAGGTCTAGCAAGTTAAAGTGATTTTTTTTGTTTGTTTGTTCAAGGAAAATAGAGTTTTCATTCATACTTTTTTTTTTTGATAAATCATGCCTCATCCTTAAGGTGCCTTATAAACATAAATTTCAAATGTTTTAAGTATTTATTGAAACTAAGCATGAACCCAATGCTCTGCTAGTCACTGTATAAAATATGTAAATAGTATAAAACTCGGCTCCTATCCTTTACTGTCTTCCTTCATATCTTTGCTTATTCATTCACTCTCAACAAATTTATCACCTTTAATGTGTTGACAATGTACAGTCTGTTGTGTCATGAAGGAAATAAACAGGGTGATATTATGGAGAGGAATGGGTGGGGGCTGAGGGGGACCACTTTAGATAGCAAAGTTAAGGAGGGCTTCCTGGAGGAAGTGATGGTTTTTCTGAGACTTGAGGACTAAGAAAGATTCCCGAGCATTGGGAATCTTGTGCATTACGAGCCCCAAAGCAGAAATAAACTAACTAGTTAAAGGAACATAAACCCCTACAGTCAGAGCAAAGATTGAGAATGGGACAGGCAGGAAAGAAGTAGAAAGCAGACTACTGGAGCCTCGTAGCAAAGTGCTGAGAATCAAACAGAGTCTTACTGAAAACCAGAGCTCAAATGAACAGATGTCTGGAGTCACCCAAGAATTATTTTTATTTCCTTTTCCCAGCAGGCAGCAGGATTACCTTTTTTTTTTTTTTTTTTTTTGGCTGCTCTGCATATCTTGCTGGATCCCCGACCTGGGACTGAACCCAGACTCTGCCCTGGCAGTGAAAGCACTGAGCCCTAACCGTCGGACCGCCAGGCAATTTCTGGGTTACTCGATCTTAGCATCATGAGTAATTTAATTTTCCAGAATTTCCTTTTTCCTGGGTTTGGGGGCTGGGAGTGAAGTGGAGTAGAGTATGGAGAAAAGGGGAACGCCCCCCAGGGACTCTTCCCCTTCTTTGGGTGTCACGGCTCAGGCCTGGCGTAGTGATCCCAGCACCCTCAGTGGCTGAGATCCATGGCATCTGTGATCCCACCTGCCCTCTTGGCTCTGTAACTTAGATCAACCCCAAGACGAGGGGGAAAAAAAAAGAATTCTGAATCAAGACCTTCCAGTGGAAGTTTTTCAGATTTTGGCATGTTGGATTAAAGAGAGACTTTAATCTTTTACCTAGGATGGGCTGGGAGTTATCGTCAGTGGTTATTACTGGGCAATGGTTAATCTTGTTACCCTTTGATCCCTGTGTGGGAGAGAGTAGGTTGGGCCAAGGAGGGAGATGGGGTGGGGATATTGGAAGTTAGGTCTTCTTGGCATATCCTACCATAATTAGAAGTTTTCCCAACTTCTGGGAAAGTGAAACTTACATATCCCTGGACTCATGAAGAGCTTTCCTTAATCATATAACCGTTTACACAGGTCTGACAGGAAACAGCCAGGCACATTGCTGCCAGGCTGGTTCACAGGATCATTTCATTTTCTACCCAGCCTATCCCAGACCTTTCAATTATAGTTACTAATCAAACTTAGAGGACTTTGGTATCAGAGACAGAAGTAATCTGACACAGATAAGGTACATGTAAAATGATCAGTAAATAAGCTAACATTTATATCCACGCAGTTTCTGGTGCGTATGAGTCAACACACCTGCAGCTTATTCTTACATCCATGCAATAATCGCTGGCTGTTGGCCATGAGCCAAGCACTGTCTAGGCCCTGAGGAAAATAACAGTGACTAGGACAGGTGACATGTGTGGAGTATTGCCAACCTAGGAATTACACTCAAGCTTCGATGGCCATACTTTCTATTGAGGCTTCATTATGTAGGCTTGATTGATTGAATCATTGACCACATAGTGATTGAACTCCATCTCCAGCCCCTCTCTCTTGCTGAGTCAAGCTGACAGCACATAGCCCAAAGCCCCAACACCCTAATCACATGATTGGACTTTTTGGCTTGGTGATTCCCCATGAGTCATCTCATTAGAGTAAACTATCAGGTACAATCCAGAGAGCTCACCAGGAATAACACAACACTCGGGAAATTCAAAGGGTTTAGGCTATTTCCCAGGAGCCTGGACAAAGGCCAGACCTCTTACTACACAGTTTGAGAAAGAACATCAAGGACAAAGGACTAGGGTGCAACTGGATCTGGGGTACCACGTGAACAAAAAGGTGAGAGCAGCCAAAGGATGGTAGGAAAAAGAATGGGCAGACCAGAGAAACAGGGAGAGCCAGATCAGTGGAGACTCGGGGCAGCGAAAGAAGTTTGTGTTTTCTTCTAAATATAATGGGAAGCCACTGTATGATTTTAAACAAGGAAGAAACATAATGATTTCCGGTAATTCCCTGGCAGTCCAGTGGTTAGAACCCCGCGCTTTCACTGCCGAGGGAGCGGGTTCAATTCCTGGTCGCGCCGCAGCCAAAAACAAGAAAACGAAACAAAACAAAAAACACCGAATGATTTCCTTCTAAGAGAGAGTCAGAGGAGACAGAACCACAGAAGCAGAGGATAGAGATAGAAAGCTTTGAAGATGCTATGCTACTAGACTTGAAGTTGGAGAAATGGGTAGCCCCTAGAAGCTGGTATTGGGCACGCTACTCCAAAACGTCTGAGAAAACTGCAGGAGGAAGGCTTCCCGCTCTCGCCTTTTTTCCCTGAAAGCAGGAAATAAATCTCGCATGTGAAAGGTACCCTCCCGGTACCAGGAGGAAGGGAGATATCCTTATCACCAGGGAGAAGGCTGTATAAACAAACCTTGCTACTACCCCTAGCCCAAGCCCCCTTTGCCATGTCAAGTTTTCACAAATTTATTGTTTCTTTGCCTAAAATGTATTAAAGCTTCCTGCTCTGGTCATTTCTTCAGGTCTTCATCCTCTTGTGAGGGCTCTCATGTACATGTAAAAATTCAATAAAATGTGGATGCTTTTCTCCGGTTAATCTGTCTTTATCAGTTGAATTTTCACACCCAGCCAAAGACCCTCAGAGGGTTTTTATTTTTGATTAAAAAATTTTTTTGTTGAAGTATAGTTGCAGGTGTACAGTATAGTGATTCACAATTTTTAAAGGTTATACTCCATTTATAGTTATTATAAAATATTGGCTATATCCCTCATGTTGTACATCCTTGTAGTTCATTTTATACCTAATAGCATACCCCAACTTCTATATTGCTCCTCTCCCCTAGAAGGTTGTTTTTTAATATGATAGCACTGCACTTCTAGGAACCAGTTTCTACATTGGG